AGCATAAACAGAACTTGCATTTATTTACACTAACGATTTACATCTCCTTTAAATCTCTGAGTGAAATATGTCTTTGTATTGATACCTGTGATACAAAGAAAACTGAGTGGGTCAGACTTGGGAGCCTGGTGAGCATATAGGGTTTTCAACCCATAATAATATAATTATTATATTCAATCATCAAACAATCAACCTAATAACCGATCCCCATTATCTTCTTTATTTCTTAAGGTTTTACCGTAAGAATGGACTATCCTTCCTTCATTCGTTCCTAAGGAATTGGCACAAAGTCCATTGCTTCCTGAGGTTAATCTACATAGTACTAAATCCATAGCTACCAAGGTTCATAGTACTAAATCCATAGCTACCACGGTTTATCTACACTGTACTAAATCTATAGCTACCATCGTTTTATTATGAGACACTAAATCTATAGCTGCCAGGGTTTTTAGAGTACACCGGTGAACATCAAGTCCACAACACCTACAAGTTGCGAGCTTGCTAGTGTTCCACTGGACTGTCTAGAATAGTCTGTGGTTGTCATCCCTACTCTACTGAATGACGGGGGCCATTGTTTGGGTAAAGGTTTCACTCATTTTTCACCTGTCACCCTCATCTTATGATCTATATCATCTTTCGTCTCGTCCTCAAACTCATCTTTCATCACACACCAACTATTTCATCTACCCATGTTCTACCCAACATATTTGTAGATATAAATTACATATATATAATTTAAATTATTTAAAAACTATATAAAACATTCGTTCAACATCCATCTCAAGTAAACAAACAACATATAAACACATAGCACGTATTTAATAGCAAATACTTCATATCTATGCGATAGAAGAAAGTAACTATACACTCACTTGATCAGAAGATGATCGGACAGCACTACGACTTGTAGAAGTAGTATTCTTTGGTAGATCTGGAAGATCTTCACAAAAACGGGCTTCTCACAGGCAGAGCTTCGGTTCGGGAATCTCACTTCTCGGGATCCTCGGGGCTTCGGAACTTGCTTCGAGGCTCGGGAATGATACCGGGGCTTCGGGATATAGTTGGCATGCAAATCGAGGCAAAAACTTAGAGAGAAGAAAGAAAATGAGCAAAGAAAATGGCTGATATAGGTTTCTATTTATAGATTGTGGTTCTGGGATTACGTTGGGCGTAATCTTGGTTACACTGGGTGTACGCTTTGGATAAGCTTTGGTATGTGTGCCACGATCTTCAAAAATTCATAACTTTTGCATACGAGCTCCATTTTTGAAGTTCTTTATATCCACACGTAGGTGAAATTATGCTCTACAACTTTCATGTAGACTCCATTGGCTAATTTTGAATTAATTTTTTTATTATTTATTTTTAGTAGGCCGGTACAGGAAAACTCCGTTATAAATTCATAACTTCTTCATCCGACGTCCGTTTTCGTCTGTCTTTTACCGTTGGACTACTATCAACAAGATCTTCAATTCTTGTTTAGATTGTTTCGACTAAAAACCGCTTGATCTCAAATCGAGTATTCGGGTTGCATACCGCTAAGTCAAAACTTAGAAAAATCATAACTTCCTCATACGAAGTCAGATTCGGACGTTCTTTTTATGCACGCTCATGGTTTAACGAACTTTACAACTTTTGTTTAGATCGCTAAGGTTGAATATCGATCTAACGTAAATTTACTTATTACGTCATTCAACGTCGTGTCGGTTCTGTCGCGAAACTTCGACAGGTCATAACTTCTTCGTTATAACTCGGATTTCGGCGTTCTTTATATGCACGAAAACCTTGTGACATATACTACAACTTAGTTAAGGTTATTCATTCTAAATAATATTCTATCAAAAAGTCGTTTTTTGATGCTTATCGTCTCTTAATTGATTTGCCCTGATCTACGGGCGTTACTGCCCCACTCCCTAATTGGGCCTTAATCTAAAATCCATAACCAAAACTGGCCCAAAACATCATTGTTCAGAAAGTCCAGCAAGGCCAATGCCAAACTAACCCAAGAGTGGCTCAAACCCGAACCCAAAATATTAAAAGCCCAACAAAGGGCGTATACGGGGCGTACTCCTCTTGTACGATGGGCGTACTTCCATTTGCGTTGACCACCATCGAGGTGGTTGAATCAGTATGTTGGGCATTTAGAAATTATGCAGGGCATACGCAGGGCTTCACTAAAACTCTAATAAGTGCTTAATGGCTTATGCACTTAACCCCATATTTCAGATCCAACAACCCAAAGTGTCTTAGAACCATAAAGTCTCGAACTGTAAGACTTTGGATGTCCAGAAGGCTCTTAATACATGGTATTAATCCATTAAGACCTTTAAACTACATGTATGGGACATCTTCAGCCATTGGGACCTCATTTTTATCTCTGAGGACCTCTTCAAGAGTCTAGAAGGACAGTTTATTTCGTCAAAATCATATCATGCACTAACTTGAGACTTTTGGGCCAAGAAATGGTTCCTTAAAGCTGAAATGGCAAGAAATAACATACAATCGTAAATTTCGAAGCTTTTTACCTTCTAGAGCTTCTAGGGCCCTAAACAACTTCAGATCTACTACCTTGTTCACCTTCTCCAACTCCTTGATGCAACACCTTCTTCTCAAACTACTCAAAATACACATTATAAGCTCATACACTCAAGGAAATGATTATGGTTTAGGGAAAACGGCTCTAAACAGTGGAGGCTGAGGTAAGGGAGGGTTATGAGCTCATAAGGTTGTTTATATAACACTCAAACCCTGAATATTAGGGTTTCCACCTGACGTGAGTATGTACATCGTACAAAAGTGTAGGCCCAGCGCACTAGGGCGTGCCTAGTACGCTCAAGCATACCTTATGTACACTTAGTGTACTCTCTTGATCCCAAAGTTGCAACTTTAGCCCTTAGGCTTCTCATGGGTTAACTTTTCTAACACCATGGACTACAAATGACAAAATAATAATAGAAGATATGATTCGGAAGTACCTGCAAAATCTCGGGATGTTACACGATATCTTGACAGGAGTAGTAGAGTTGGAGCCTTTTTTTTGAAGCAAACTAGCTTTGGTAGATTTCAACATGCCATGTAGCTCCATCAGGGTCTTGTTGAGATTGTTCATATTATAGTTCATGATGAATTGATGATATGAACTAGATAGTGAGTTTAAGACAATGTCAATGACCAAATCTTTTGGAAACTCGACACATAATCCCCTAGTTTGTCAATATACGACTTCATTTTCAGAACGTACATGCATACAAAACTCCCATCTTAATGTTTACAATCCATTAAAGACTTCATGATCTCGAATCTTTCTCATTAATTTCATACACCCAAAGGTTCTTAAAACTCTTTTGAAGCTCAAAAGACAAGGTCGTCAACATTATGCAAGAAACTTTAGTAGATTCATCTTCATGCTTGTGATAAGTGGCCACCTCTTCTTTAGTAAACTCATCATCCACGTAAGGGAGATCTTGATCTAGTACATACTCTTTGCCCTCATACCTTAGGTAAATCCTAAGAATGTCGCAAGTGAAGCCTTGTGAGGAATGAATAAAAACCTTGAGGTCAAGGATAACAGAGATCGTTACCTCATGAATTGAATATGGACACCGAGATTTGACGGGTATAGAGACATTATCATGATCAAAGCTCACAATACCATGTACTCCATCCATCCCAGGTTAGACAAGATGTATCTCGACCTAAAGAAACTATATTGGTGGCCTAACATGAAGGCGAAAATTGCTACTTATGTGGAAAGTGTTTGACTTGCTCCAAGGTCAAAGTAGAGTACCAAAAGCCCTCGAGTTTGCTATAACAACTGGATATACCCGATTGGAAGTGGGATCAGATAACCATGGACTTCATAGCTAAATTACCCAAGAAAACTGGTGGGCATGACACCATATGGGTAATTGTCGATAGGTTAACCAAATCCGCACACTACTAGAAAAACAGCCTTTTACGACGCTCATTGCGCGTCGTAAAAGGCACAGACGACGCGCAACTGCGCGTCAAGGAAGGCCCTGTCATAAAGAGAGACGACGCGCTTTTTCACGTCGTCTATAAACGACGCGCATTTACGACGCGCGTTTACGACACGCAATGCGTATCAAGGAAGGCCCTGTCATAAAGAAAGACGACACGCATTCGCATGTCGTAACCTTACGACGCGTGTGTTAATGACACGCAATGTGTATCAAGAAAGCCCCTGTCAAGAAAGGCAATGTCATAAATGAAGATGACACACATTTTTGCATATCATAATTTTAAATGTTTAAAAAAAAATATTATTTATAGATTTACTTATTTTCAAATTAAATTTGTATTTAATGTTTCATAATAGAAAATAAAATATCATATACAAAAAATAGAATCAATTGCATAAATTTAATGTCATAAAAATAATCGTTGCATGGAAAGATAAAACAAATCAATAGAAGTTGTAACAAAAATGTACAAACAAATTAGATACAAAAAATACAATCCATTGCCCCCTTTGCTTATTCAAGATCAACCTGCAAGTGGCTAACTAATGTGTACAAATTCACCCTTTTTTCTAATCATTATCTGAAATACTTTACAAACGTAATTCATGCATAGTACCTGAACTATAGTTAGTTGCAGCCTTGTTTCTTCTTCTTCTGAACTCATCTCTTGCAACCATTGCTCTAAGCCTACTCTGAATAGATACAACAACTCCTTGTCAAAACATGTACAACCGGTTTCAATCAAGACACTTAATCAATCAAAAACTTCAACAATTAATTTATTTCCTTATTAAAGTTAGTTATTTTACAGCTATATGTTTGAAGATACAAAGAAAAAAAATGTTAAAGGAGAATAAGGAAATACTGAATGGTAGAACCTCATTACTGTTATGAACACAATTATTCAAACCAGACTGCCAAATTCTAACAACTTCTCCAACTGTTCTATTTTCAATCCTGTCAAGCACAATTATCCTTCATTTTGATAAATATACAAAGTTATATGATGTGTGTGTACCTAATGGGGCCATATCTTGGTCCACGACGGAGTACAACAATGAAACGTGATCCCTCTTCATAACCTCGAACTCCAGTCCTTCAAATTTCTGGAGTGCCATCTTCCTCCTTCAAAACAAGAAATATGGTGTCTTCCTTCTCAATTTGAACAGGAAATGACCATTTTGTGCCTTCATCACGGATCTATTAGATAAACAATATGTAAGGAAAATATCACTATAATAAATAGATAAAAATTGTATATTGAAAGAAAGACACACACACACACACACACGAGGCACCCCTAATCACCTGTAGCTTGCTAGGTTGGTCAGTCTCATGGTAAACAAAGAAGACTCATACATCAGATGCTCGCAACATTCTCGGTTCATCTTCGCTGCCTAGCTTCAAATATATATCTTGACCAAGTCTATTGGTGAATGTCATAAATCGACACACACTGATTACCTAAAGTTGACAATGAAAAAGTTTAAGTTCTAGACAAAAATATAAACACATAGGAGACAAATGAAGATCATAAGTTCTGATTACCTAATTTTTTTTATATTCTTGAAATCTGCTTAGAAAACACAATAAATTGTTTGTCCAAAAACATCTTAAGAATAAAGAATAGAGGAAACAAACAGCAGGGGTATTTTCATCCAACAATAGTGTAAAAATCTACTTAGAAAACACAAAATGAAGCAAAACCCCAAACTTTTTACACTTGGATAGGTAAATTCATGAAATAATCACAATATCACATAGATATAGTAGGAAAATTCGTATGATCACATTCCATGGCTGTTGAATTACTTTAATAATAAAAAGCAGTAATAGCTATTTCACTTCCAGGATAGCCAGATCCAAACTCCCTATGAATGTTTCCAACAGTTTCATCAAAGACCCAATTTCTCAATGCTCGTTCCCTTGTCACCTGTATCATCAAATGGGTGATACTGTAATAACAGTGAGATCTATTTTGAAACACAACAAGTCGTCATTGAGTAACTGGAAATAGAATTCATATACCTTCGCGGCTTATGGGTACAACAACAACGAAGTTCCACAATTTTTTTCAATCTAAGTGGGAGACGTGATACCCAAATAAGGAATTGTCTCAAAGCCATGCACATGCAATCGCTTTTTCCAATACATTGCAAGCTAATCACATTATGTTTTTTTTGGTAATAATATCTTCAAGTTCCAAAAATTTTTGCCCAGGCCCCTTGTATGGTCATCACTTAGACATAATATTTTGATGTCCTTAATTAACGGCTTAAAATATTTTTAATTTTGTGAAAATTAGAAAAACTCTGTATTGCAAAGATCATAATTAAACACCCTACTCCATAGATGTTAGTATTGCAAAGCTCACAGTATCAGCAGCTACAAGATTCATCCCATCACCCCCTGCTCTGCTGGAAATCATGAAGACAAATGCAGAGTCGGAATCAGCTTCGGAATTGGAATTTCCAATTCCGGACTTTCGGGTAAAACTCCGTATTGCAGCAAACCACTCTTCAGCTCTGATGGATCCATCAAGCCGATCATAAGGGTATTTTCTCAACTCCATATAGTCCTGTATTTCAAAATTTTCCAAAAAAGTTTAAGTTTAAATAATAACAGATGGATATACATAAGCACAACTGACAGCTGACAGTTTTTTTTATGAAAAGATAAGGAAGTAAACCTGTAAGACATCAAGTGTATGTGTCATCTGTGCAAACAGAAGAACACGGTGTCCAGATATATGTAGCTTCTGAAGTAGCTGGTCTAAGACTACCAGTTTGCCACTTGCCTGAAAGAAATCATAAAGATTTCAAATTTATTACTAACATTTTGTATGATTTAATAAATAAATAGAGATGATATATTTTTTATACCTGAACCAAGTGTTCACCGTCTTCATATGGTTCTGGCTCTATACCAGCAAAGAGGTGAGGATGACTACTTGCTTTACGTAGTTGTATTACCTGCATTAACACAAGCAATCAAATACTACTTCTCAAGTAACTTATATTTTTGGTTCCTGTACTATATTGTGTTCTTTGAATACGGTCCAAAAGGAATCTTTTTTTTCATTTTAAGTCCCTAATGCAATGATTTATAACACTTTTTGTCCAGTCATCAAATTTATGAAAAATGACTAATTTACCCTTATCTAATTTTGGTAAAAAAAAAAAAACTAACAAGCCATGACAAAATCTTTACCTGCTAAATGTTCATGATAGTAAGCATAGAAGGAGAGATGTTGGCTTACAATCTTCTCCAAGGATTGATGGCTAAAAGTTCCAGAAGACAATGCTAGAAGCTTAGGAAGCTCTCTTCTTAGTATTGACATATACACCTTCTTCTGCAGGGTCACCAATGGAGCCATCCTGATAAAACAAAATGGAATTTGTTTTTTTTATCTAAAGTAATAACAAGGGTATTTCGGTCTTTCAATAAAAAGGAGGAATGGAATTGACAACGAAACAAACACGCACCATAACCGAATTAAAAGGTATATGAGAAAAGGTCGAAAAATCCCCTGCTGATGGTGGGCTGAACCTTTTTGCAGGTGCACCAAGTTTCCGATCAAATTCAGGCACGCCAGGGACAACAATGTCCAGAAAAGTTAGATCAGGGGTGTTATGGTCATTTACCGGTTTTCCACGTTCAACAACTAAGTCAGCTTCTTCATGGAGATTGCTATCCACCCCTGCAGCAGTGCCAACAAAGCAGACCACAATGTCCACAAACATTTGAACCTAAGACCTCATTTAGGTGGTGTCTCGTATATGATGGAATCTGGAAATTAATGTAATGGTTCGTTAATTTTAATTAAAATTATGTACATAAGTAAGTAATTGTATTTACATAAAATATATAAAACTCATTTTATTTCATTCCTTCCTTTTTCCATTCCATGATTCCATTGGTTATTGGTGTTTAGCTGGTGTTCTTGATGGTTGGAATGAAATCCTTTATGCTCAAGTTTTGCCCAAACAATAGCAAAAGTTGTAAAGTAAGTGTAAATTAAATATGAATTACATTTTTTTTTTCATTTTTTACAGAATATAGAATATAGAAGATAAATAATATTGATATTATTCTTTTTCTTATAATTTTCATTTTTTTTTCATTTTTAGATGATGATTAATCTGTAAAGAAAAAACTTTCCAGTTATACAAAATACGTTTTACCTAGATTTGGGTCCACATCTATATTCCAAGAACTCCACATGTCATGGCTAAAGTAATCTTTCTGAAAAAAAAAAATAACAAAAAGAAAGTGCCACTACCATCATCGCTACCACCACTGGTGTTTTCAAAAAATTTAAACTACAAAAACACAACAATCAAAATTTAACCTGATCCGGAAGAAGATAATGCTTAATAGAACACAGCTTGCCAATGAGGTCATACTGTCGACATTCAAAAATGATAATTGGTCACAAAATATTGTTAAAATAACTAAAAAGAACAACCATATTTGAAAAGGAAGGAGTAAAAATTGGTTTGTTGATAATGTAAAGCCATATTTGAAGTAAGAAGCACTATGTTGTTGGGGCCCCATGACTTGCGACTCCCCCCAATACTGATCCAAATATGTTTTTGAAGTAAGAAGCACTGTGCATAAAGAACATAACCATGCGCATTCCTTGTTTCATACTCTTCCAAAAATCAGATATGACAAGGAAAACATAGGCAACTTGATACATCAAAGGTGCATCAAGTATAAAAAAGAACAGGGAAACTGATATTAACACTGTCATATAGTAGTTTGGTGCACTGAACACTGTCACCACATTCTTGTCCTAATATCAATCAGAAAATTATTAATAAGCCTAATAATTATCATTAAGGAGGGATAGAGGGATAGAGGGCTAATTAAGTAAATATACATGACACCAGTTGAAACCCTCCATGAATAGCTGGTGAGCTCTGGAGATGAGAGTAAGCCCATTTGTATAGTTGAAGTGAGACGCAATGTCTAGTCCGAATGTGTACCCAGCCCCATGTGGAGAGAACCCCTACCCGCATCTATCATCTGGATCCGACCTTAACAGATCACACATTGTTCCTTCATGTGGGACCTACAAATTCTGAAACACACCAATTTAAGTATTACAATTTAAGTATCACTATCATCTAAGATTGTAGAATCAAGTGTTTATGATATGTGTATACTAACTCGATCGTGATTTTTTATAGCAAACATGGAGTCCCAACAACCTGTTGTATTAGTTCTAAGTGGAAAATCAAAAAGCGAGAAGGAATTTGCAAGGTCTTTAAAAGAAAGTTCATCCCTTAAAATCACAGATGATGTAAAGTTCCAGACCTATTTGCATTCTGAGATGGAAAAGTAATCGGAAAAAGATGAATTCAACATTGATACTTACATGGATCTTGAAATCACTAAAGAAGGGCATTGGTCCTTCAAAAAAAGATGAAAAAGCTGACTATTGAAGAAGGGCTTCGTGGATAAAATTGCAATCAAGCCCTAAATTTAATAGTTCTCCATTTAAAGAAAACACAGTATAGGGCTAAAGTTGATAATTTGGAAGAAAAAAGACGAAGAACAGAAGAATATGAGGTCAAAGTAACAGAATGGAATAAATAAAGGAAAATTCTTACCTTTTTCTTCGAACGGAGGGTCAATTGACTTTCAATTTTTGGTGTTAGGGCCTAGCGATTGTAAGAGGAAGAAGACAGACGTACTCTCATAGATGATGGTTGTATGCGCTTGATTTTGCGAAGACGAGATAAAGGAAAGAACTAGGGTTTTCTTGTTGTAAGTCAGGGGAGAAGCCGAGAAAGTAATTAGAGGAGAAGGGGGGAATCGCTCAAGAAGAAAAATAGGATGTCTTCGTAAGATGGAAGGGAAAATTGGTTTAGAAGCTGGTCAGACGTAATGAAATGTTGAAACGTTTGGAAACAACTTCTCCCAAATGGTTGGAGAAGATGGTCGGAGACAGTTGGCGGTGTGAGATCGGAGGTTGGGTGGTGGTGCGATGTTGCTATGAAGACCAACGCCCTAGGGCTTTTTCTTGCTAATCGGAAGAGGTGGGGGTTTAATTTTTGGGATCCAATATAGGCGGGTGAAATCCCGCTTAAAACGCGTGTTTATTAAAAAAATTATAAAGCGACACTCTTAGATGTCACACGTTTTATGAAAGGTGCCCTCCGCATTTTTTTTTCTTTTATGACACTAATTTTAGGGCACGCACAAATGCGGTGCCCTCTATCCTTCATATTTTGCAAAACTGACATTATTTTTTAGGGCACGCACAAATGCGTATCGTCTATCAGCGCGTGTCATTGTTTGCGCGTCATTAAAGGGCTTTTTTCTAGTAGTGGCACACTTCCTACCAATAAAGGAGACATACATAATGGAGAAGCTAACAATGATGTTCATCAAGGAGATTGTAAGATTACATGGTTTGCCAATATCCATAATCTCTGATAGAGATAACAGGTTTACCTCACGATTTTGCCAATCACTACAAAAGTCCTTGGGAACCAAACTCGACATGAGTACAACCTATCACCCATAAACCGATGGGTAAAGTGAGAGAACTATTCAAACATTGGAAGCCATGTTGAGAGCTTGTGTGATAGACTTATGTAAAGCTTGGGATACCCACTTACCACTCATTAAGTTGTCATATAACAATAATTATCACTCTAGGATTAAAGTTTTGTCCATTTGAAGCCCTCTATGGGCGCAAGTGCATATCACCTATGTGATGGGCTGAGGTGGGTGACACACAACTAGCTAGAGGACAAGTGCCAACAATATTACTGGCCCTGAGATCATATGGGAAACGATAGAGAAGCTCGTTCAGATCTGTGAACAACAAAAGATATATCGGGATCGACAAAATAGCTATACAGATAAACGACACAAACCCTTGGAATTCCAGGTTGGTGATCATGTGTTGTTGAAAGTCTTACCCTGGAAGGTAATGATATATTTTGGAAAACATGGGAAACTAAATCCAAGGTACATAGGGCCATTCAAGATCCTTGCCAGGATCGACCCGTAGCTTACAGAATTCGGCTATTGCAGGAACTCAGCAACATATACCCCACTTTCCATGTGTCCAATTTAAAGAAGTGTGTGTCCGATGAGACTCTCGTCATTCCACTTGATGAAATCGAAGGAAACGACATTTAAGGAAGTGTCTGTCCGATGAGACTCTTGTCATTCCATTTGACAAAATCGAAGTAAACGAGAGTCTCCACTTCATCGATAAACCTATGGATATCATCGACATGGAAGTCAAAAGAACGAAGCAAAATCGCATACTAGTAGTAAAGGTCCATTGGAATGCCAAGCGAGGACCTAAATTTACATGGGAACATGAGGATCAAATGAAGCAGAAATACCCACATCTTTTCCCTAACTACTGAGAATTGACTTAGAGTGCTAATTTCGGGACGAAATTCCTTCTAACAGGGGGATCATGTGACAACCGTCATTTTTGGTCAAACAAAATCAACAAAAGTCAACCAACTCAACTCAACTCGAATTAGAATTTTAGGAGAAATTTGATATTCCTTAATAATTCTAACGCACTATTGACAAGTTATAATACAAAGTACCTCTCTTGTTGTCAATTATTGAATATAAACCCTAATTAGGGTTAGTAACGTAAAAATTCAATAATTAAATTATATATTATTTGGGTATAAATAATATTCATAACACCATGTAGTGGATTTCATAATACTTATACTACATGGAAAATTCATAACAAAGGTTACATATATAGTTTTTGGTGAATTCATCACCAAATGCGATAGATTCTAAACTTGGCTTAAACACTCCAACATTAACGAAAATAATTAGAAATTATCCTAACGCTCATGTAAAGTGTTATTATTTTTGATGATAGTACTTTTTATAATAATTTGAAATTAAATGGTTCAAATTAAGTAAATATACATCATTTTTACCATACTTTTTTTTTAAAATCACCAATTTTTATAAAAATTACCCATTCTTTTATAAAAAAAATGATACTATTTGTCTTATATGGTGATGACATCTTTATTAAAGAAAAATATTATAATAAAAGTCAACCCTTACACCCTACCTCACCCCCATACTCATCCCACCCCACCCCTCACCATCCCCTCCCCCCCCCCCATCACTCTACAGTCTTCATCTCCCTCCTCAAGAACAAGGTCTCTTCTTCTCAAGATTTAATCTCCATAAGTTGGTTCTTGATCTTTTGGTAAATTTTTCCTTACTAATCTAGTGATTCTACACACATATATACTAGTTTTGTTATAATTACACACATTAATATGTGTTAATATCCATAGGTTAATTCATTCTTCAAGTGTTCTTAGCTTGTAAACCTTCATCTTCACCTCTTTATCCACCAAGAAACACACTCAACGTGAGTTCAGACTCCTCATTTTCATTTTTATCCAAGTTTTAGGGGCGCCCCGGGAGGGGGGGGGGGATACTAGTAAACATGTATAATAATACAAGTTGTTATACATGCTTTGTCTTCAAGTTGTGAAAACGTATTATTTACATGAAATAATGTTATTACCTAGAATTATAAACATTTTACGTGTGGTATGTTGTTTAAAATGCAAATCTATGAAAAATAAGTATAAACATGCTATATGTTCTTGAGAAAAAAGATCATAAAATAAAACTATAAAAACTAGGGTTTTTATAAACATAATATGACTTTTCTAGCAAAAATGGTTTTAACCAAGTTATTACATCATCTTTGTGG